GTTTCCTTCCTGTTCATCCGACAACACTCTGTTTTACACCGTATTTGAAGGCTGCAACATTGTGCATCAGTTGTCCCTCAGTCGCGGAGAGGACCATCTTTTTCCTTCAGGGAGAGGTCAGTGATTTCTCTAGGCTCCCTTCTGAGAGTTGGTCTTGTAAGGGGGTAGTGGGTTATGGGGGGACGCTTATACCATCCTGTAGTAACCTTTCGTGTCCCATTGTCCGCCGAAGAGATATTTCAAGTTACTCGAACGCTTCGAATTAACCAACATTGTTGGCTCAAGATTACTGTCCTGAAGAATGGTGTCTGTGTGGGTTAGTGGATAAGCCAATGAAGAGAACGGACAGCAATGATTTACTGGCTTAGCAATAGATCAGTTGGACACTCTAGGGGTGAACGATTCTATGTAGAACTCCTGTTTTACTTCAGGTTAATGAACCGTTATGTTGTGAAATTCTCTCGGAAACGTTTCACTCCGTCAGTTCACGGTGTTCATCGACTTTTGCTCATTACAACGCCGGTTAAGTCGAATATTTTCTGGTTTCATACAACCCATCTAAGACTTTCACCACTGAAAACCGGTTTGAAGGTTCCCGACCTGCCTGGCCCAGTGTTCCATATATGTGTAAGCAACAGGTACCTTTTGAGTGGGATGTTCTAACACGTTACCAGAGAATATGAACTGGAGTTCGCCCCCACTCTCCCAACACCAAACTAACCGTCATCCGCGGGCTTCCTCGAAAATCGTGGGCTTGTATTGTTGTAAAAGCACTCACCATCCCACCTGTTTCGTTGTTAGATGAACTAATTATCGACGTGCTAGCAGGCACCAGGCACGATCTGCCTCACATTGACATTCATTGTTAGCTTTCTGTTAGATGATACGTCAACTGGTGGGACATCAGGATGTCACGTGACCTGGTTCTGCAATCTGATTCGCCCAAAATCGCAACAAAGTTATGCCCCCAATTTCAAGACATTTACGAGACCACCATAAAAAACTTAACATCCGCTTTCGTCCCTGAAAGACTGTAAAGACCATCGTAGGCATCATATAGTTACACGTGTAACCCTCGTAAAGCCCCAGGAAACAGCGGTCATTTAGCTGCTTCTTCTCACGCTTTCCTGCACCAAGTGTATACCTCGTTGGTAGCGTGACAAGCGAGTTCTTTGCCAAATCGGCAGAAGGCCAGCCTCCAGCTTTACAGCATGGACAAGACCCTACGCATTTCAAGATGCCTCTTTCTGAAATGAGAAATAGCAATGTGGAAATTGTGCCGAGTATATTTCTCGCGACTGCGCATCAGTGATCGAAATTCTGAAATTCCTTACAGATGGGTCGTTTAACGAAACAATCGGAACTGTTGATTGACTATTTTGTGAGTAGTCGGTTTGTCGCAAACATGTCGTCTATTTGAGATGATAGAGCATGCGTATCGGTGAATTTTGTGGTACAGATGATCAGAATCCTAATCACAATACAGCATTGTCGAAGAGTACTCGAATCCACTGCTTCTTCGACCTTAGTGAGAACTGTTCAGCCAAGACAGGGGCAGTGAAAAAATCACGCCTTAATTACTGCGCAAACGTGTGTCCCAACGCTGTCCGTTTGCAGAAGAAAAGAACCATTAGGCATGGGACTACGTGATGTGAATTTTGTGCCTGGAGGTTGACTGACCCTATATCTTGTTTAAGCATGGGTTAATCCCATTGCTAATCAGCCGCTCGTGGCCCAACGCTTCAACTACTAGCCAGCATTCCACGAGTTCGAACTTCTCAGAGACTCGTGAGATACGCACGGCTGATGATTCCCATGAAGGTTGAGGCAGTTGTACAATGGTTCTCGGCTTTTCGGCGTGGATCGACTTCGCTTTAACGACGGAATCTCCACAGAAAATTCATCGTCATCATCATCATCCGAATCATCATCATCATCATCATCATCATCATC